CTTACATACCTGAACTGTCATTTTTGTATTTTGACTAGCAGCTTTAGAAATCTCTGAACTTTACAAACATTTCTGCGAACAAACTTTTAATTTTCATAATTGAACTAACTTCCCTCCAGTGGCTCTGGAGTACACACACCCAACTCCCACAGGCTTCCATTGTGTCTGCGCTCAGAATTATCTTTTTAAAACTAAAAGTTGAACGGTCTTTAAAACTTCTCTCTCCTACATGAAACACTATAGACACAGTTGTCTCTGCTTCTACTTTCAATTCAGTTTAATTATGACTTTTTTCACACAGTGACTGCTTCAGGCTTAATTCCTACTCCGTGTTGTCATCCACCTGTTTTTGTTTGCAGATGACATTGTGATCTGTGGTGAGGACAGGGAACAGGTGGAAGAGAACTTGGAGAAGTGCATGTATGCAGTTGAAAGAAGAGGAATGAAAGTTAGCTGTAATGAGACAGAGTACATGTGTGTGAATGAGACGGAGGAGGTGGAACAGTGAGGCTAAAAGGAGCAGAGGTCACAAAGGTGCAGGACTTCAAGGACTTGGGGTCCACTGTCCAGAAAAATGGGGAGTGGGGTCAAGAAGTGAAGAAGAGAGTCCAGGCAGGATGGAGTGGATGGAGAAAAGTCTCAGGAGTGATTTGAGACAAAAGGGTGTCAGCAAAGGTCAAAGGAAAATTTTACAAGACATTGGTGAGAGCAGCTATGTTGTATGGTCTGGAGACAGAGACATGGACAAAAAGACAGGAGACAGAACTGGAAGCAGCAGAAATGAAGATGTTGAGGTTCTTCTTAGGAGAGACAAGGATGGAGAAGATCGGGAATGAGATCATCAGAGGTACAGCACAGGTTGAACAACTGGGAGATGAAGTTAGAGAGGACACACTGAGATGGTTTGGACGTGTCCAGAGGAGGGACAGTGGTTTGGATGTGTCCAGAGGAGGGACAGTGAGTATATTGGTAGAAGGATGTTAGAAATGCAGCTGCCAGGAAAAAGACAAAGACAAGACATATGGATTCAGTTAGAGAGGACATGGAGGTAGTTGGAGTGAGGACAGAGGACAGAGTGAGATGGAGGAGGATGACTTGCTGTGGAGACCACTGAAGAGGGAACACCTGAAAGAAAAAGAAGAAGTTTTCATCTGCCTGTCTTATTAAGAGTGTTTTGAGGGTGTGAGTGCCCAATGAGCCACTGGCAGCAGCTTTAACTTGGTGTCATAATGAAGTTGCGGTGAAGATCCAAACCTCAGGTACAGGAGAACGGAATCTCAAATAAAACTGAACTTTAAGTATAAAATTAAAGTCGTTGACAAGTCGGCAAAAAAAAAAAAATCATCAAAACTACGGTAGCAGACACAAGATGAGGCTCAGCAAAACTGATCGAGGTGAACCTGAGTTTGTCTGAACAACGGCTGAAGGTGAACCAGAACAGGTGAGCTGAAGCACCTGAGCTGATGGAGCGCAGGTGAAGGTGGGGGAGCTGAAAGCAGGAGCAGCTGAGGAGGAAACATTGGAAAACAACTAAACACAACAAATTCAAGCTACAGAAGCCAGGATCATGACCGTTTTTCATGTTTTATAGTTTAAACATCAAAACATTTGGGCAGCTTGGACGTATTCTAAAGCTTTAGGGATTTAGAGAAAAATGATGATAGATGTCATTTAGCTTCACTTTTTTCTGATTTTGTTGATCTTTTCTCGTCGTCTTCTCGACCTGTCTGAAGCTCGGTGAGCAGCAGAGATTTCATGAATCCAGTCACAGTTGAACATCAGCTCCGTCCTGAGCAGAGAAGCTGTAAACCTGTAAACACGAAGCAGCAGCGCCTCCGTTCACATCGAAGAAACTGTCGAGTCAGACGTGTCGTTCAACCGCTGTCCCGGCTGGAACACGGGTAGCACACGAAGATGAGGGAAGTGTGTTCTTCCTCCTGTTGCTGCTGATCTGATCTGTCTCAACAGGAACAAACGGTAAGGTTTAAGGAATTGGTTGCCAGCTGTCACATCAGGAAACGTTCATTTTTCCGGTGTTTGACACATGGACAGAAAACAGACCCAAACTGGTTGAGCAACGATTCCCCACACACACCAACGCCGGTGTGTGTTGGTGTGTGTGTGTTAGTGGGTGGCACCGCCGCACATTCTGCTCATCCATCTGCTTCACTTGGGGAATGACAGTTTGACATTTGCATTGGGAGAAAAGGGGCGCGATTAGAATTGTTCCCTCACAGATCCGAACCCGGCTCTGCGTTTCTCACAGCTAAGCGCGGCAAATATTTCTCTTGCTCGCATCATGACGAATACAACTCTCTGATTTAGGATGAAACCTGCGAGGAGCCGTGACATTCGTGCCGTAGACAAATTTCCAGGCCTGTTCCTCTCTCCAGAGTCCCGCTGCTTTATGCATATTTCCTCTTGACGTAAACAACAGCCAGGCTGCAGAGATTTTATTGCATTATTCAAGGTTAGCTATGAATTACCTCAGTTACAATGAACCGGTCCCTTTTAAGTTCTGCATCAGCAGAGTTACAGCCCTTTGAAAGGCATTAAAGGGAAACAGGAGGACGACTTGTAGCACGCATACAATCAAAATGCTTTTTCATTCAATTCACGTCTGCTTCTGAAGAGGCAAAATCCTTGGAAAAGATTTCCAGCATATTTGTGATTCCAGCTTGGGGCGTCATAAATCTCATCTTGTATTACGGTTCCATTTCTCCTTTATTTCACACCTGCCAGGTGGAGTTCTTTATGATCATTTTATGCATACAAATTTATTTTACCTGCATAAACTTAAAAGACGCCAGAGAAAACACAGCACACAAATAATAATGATGCAAAAATGTTTACAGCTATTTTTAAAACAAGGTATTTCAACAGTTATGCAACTGTACCCATGATTGCGAAACGGTCTGAATGATGTAAAAGTAAAAGTGAATTAAAAAAAAAAACATTTTGCAACAAACATTAAGTTAATTATCAGCAGGTCAGTAAAAACACTGCGTATACAAAGAAAACGTTAGAGAGGCTGACTTTCGTAGAAGTAAAGATGGGCAGAGGCTTAATTACTAAACACAGTGGAACAATTTCAGAATATTATTACTCAACAGAAAATTAGGAAGACTTGAAATATCCCGTCATCTCCAGTGCGTATCATCAACAGATTAGAAGAATGTGGCTCAGAGGTCGAGGCTGAAAGCCAACGTCGGACGGCCCACTGCATTAAAACCAGGTCTGGTTCTGTTCTGGGTTCAGGAACACTTCGGTCTGTAAACAAGGTTCATCCACAGATGCTGCTTAAAGCTCTATCAGGCAAAGAAGAAGCCAGATGTGAACACCAACCAGAACCGCTGCCGTCTTCTCTGGACCAGAGCTGGTTTCAAATGGACCGAGATGAAGTCCAGAACTGTTCTGAGGTCGGACGGATTTAAATCTGAAGATCTGTTAGAACTAACCTGTTTTCACGACACAGTTGAAAAGCCTGCCTCTCTGATGGTATGGGGGTGCATTAGTGCCTCTAGCATGGGCAGCTTACACATCTGGAAAAGTTCCATTAATGCAGGTTTTAACAGATATGTTCCACTTTGTGTTGCTTTGTAACAAAAACTGTTTTTAACGTGTCAAAGGTGAAATTTAGGTGTATGAATTCTGGAAGGCTGTAAAACTGCAAAGACTTTTTTTGTTGTTTTGTTTTCGTTTAATTGGCTCATTTTTCTATTTTTGTGTTTATCAACAAATATAGTCGAGGTTTGTAAGTCTCCGTTACAGTTTTGTGTTTATGTGTGTGTGTGTGGGGGGGGGGGGGGGGGGGGGGGGGGGGAAGGGGGTAATCAGCAGATGAAAAGTTTGGGAACGTTTTGATGCATGATAATATTTTTATGCATTACAAATTTGTTTGCATTTGTAGAAGAGTTAATTTTAAATGAATTGAAAGTCAATTTTGTGTCCGAGTTCTAGAATTGTGCCGCTCAAGGTGCTGCATGTTGGCGCAGCTCTTACTTTCATTCTGGGATGTTGCTTTTCAAAACTTTAATTCCTCTTTTTTCTGGATGTAAATCACCTTTTTTGGATGATGAAGTCCTCTGGTGTCGGACGCTGTGCAGCTGGAAGAATTTTTACTGAAACCTTTTTGCTTTTGGAAATTTGTTATGATGTGTAACCATGACAACAAGGATGTTGTTTTTTTTACAGCTGATTAACATCTCAAAAGCTCAAATAATACCTCAGCTTCAGCCCCAAATCACAAATGTGTTAAAAAAAAAGGAGGTGCCGTGGATGCATCACCGTCTACTTGGCAGAGGTGCTGTCTGTCCGCAATTACGAGAAGCTCAACAAGTTGCTGGGAGGAGTGACCATCGCTCAGGGACGAGTTCTGCCCAAGATTCAGGTGGTTCTGCTGCCCAAGAAGATCGAGAATCCCACCGAGTCCAAGTAGACAGATCATCATCTGCAGCCAGTTTCCTCAGCTCTGCTCTAAGACGGACCGCTACAAGAGATCCTTCCTGCCCACAGCCATCAGCATCTAGAACAACTTTTTAATGAAACCAGGATGAGAGTTTCAACAACAATTAATTTTCTTTTGAGATTAATAAAGTATTTTTGAATTGAATTGAACTGAAGTCAGTAGTTTTGTTTCAGGACCAGCAATCCTGTTTTCTGTAATCAGTTTTCTGACATCACGATTTGTGCAGTTGATTAATCTTTTTTTAAACGTACAAATGATTTTTGAGCTTCTCGTTTGATTTTATCTGGTGTTACAGTTTCAAAATCTTCTAACAGTGAGAAATAAAACCAGCAGAAATCCATCAAAGCCTACAAACTGTTATTTGCTGCATTTGGCTGACGATCGAGAACGCGGAGGCCAACTTTTCTTGGCCGTGACGCTGGTTCATATTTTGGCTGCGATCCTCTGGTTGTTATCTTGTAAGAAGCAACTCCCAGTGGATTACAGTTGTGTCCGTGTTGCAAATTCTCTGGAAATAAGAGTTAAAGATTAAATGGGAGATTACTTTTTCACCGAAGGTTGGATATTCTTCTTTACATTACAATAGAGTCAGATTGATTTACCGTTTTTGGACCAGAACTTGTTTGTCTTCGAGCCAAACGTTTACCAAGTCGTTCCGATTAACTTTGGAGCTGGACGCCTCCTCTGAGGGAGACGAATTACACTTTGGGTTGCAGCCAAGTGGAAAAGTGTGAGACTTAGCAGGATCTCCAACTCGTACTGAGCTGATGAGCTTGTTTTGTTCTCCGTCCTGGTTCTGCAGGTGTGGATCTGCTGGCTTTGTACAACCACCCGCCCGTCCGAGAAGGCCAGGTGAAGTACTACACGGTCAAGGTGCCTCTGCGGGTCCAGAACTACGACGAGGGTGTCAGAGGAGTGGAGGCGAACTGGTTGGATCACATGACCCAGCACTTCAACAACGGAGCCTCGCTGGTTGACGGATACTTCCACCTGGGCAACGTGAACGGTACCTGAGTTAAATTTATCGAAACTTCAAATCAAAAAACTGTACGAGCACAGAAAAGAATTACATCCCTCAGTCACGACAATTATCACCTTTTTATGGGCTTTGCAGGTAGAGCGCTCACTGTTGCTGTTAGGTCTTGTTTATGCACCAACATGACCTTTTTCTTTTCACCGTTTCACCTGCAGAAATGTCAAAGCAGATGCCAAACTCATGTCAGGCTATGAAATTAAAAGTCAGTGGCAGGTGTGATGCACTGTGCCCCGTGTTTGATTAATTATGCATTAGCTGACATTCATTTTCCTGCAGAAAACAATCAGAAATGTCATATTCCAAACACATCTTACACATAAATCACTCTGACAGCACTTTTCCTTTGAGAGACAGGTTTAGTCTAGCTGAATCGGTTATTTACATGAAAATCTGGTTTTATTTCGAAGGTTCTTTTCTGATCTGAAACACAAGAAAAATGATGTTTTCAGAACAGTCCCGATAAGATACACATGCTTCAAAGTGAGGTGCATGAAATGCATCAAACAGATCATGATGAGGTCAAAGAGGATTGTGGAAAAAGGTTGATTTGACCTGATATGAGTGGGTTTTTATTAGTCATTTTAAAGTATAGTGTTGTTTATGTTAAATATTGTTAAAGGTAATCTTTGCAATTTATAAAATCCAAGGTACATTTTTTTTATCTTGAATTGTTTAAAACTGAGTAGTCCATTTCTCGGTGCAGCCAGGGGGTGGAGGGAGTCCGGTTCAGTTCGGTGGCCTCAGGATTCATCTCTGCTCTTTGCAGATGACGTGGTCCTGTTGGCGTCATCGTGCCGTGATCTTCAGCTCTCACTGGAGCGGTTCTCAACCGAGTGTGAAGCAGCTGGGATGAGAACCAGCACCTCCAGATCTGAGGCCATGGTCCTCAGTCAGAAAAGGGTGGATTGTTCTCTTCAGGTCGAGGGTGAGGTTCTGCCTCTAGTGGAGGAGTTCAAGTATCTCGGGGTTTTGTTCACAAGTGAGGGAAGAATGGAGCGTGACATTGACAGACGCATTAGTTCAGCATCTGCAGTGTTGCGGACTCTGTAACGGGCCGTTGTGGTGAAGAGGGAGCTGAGCTGTAAGGCGAAGCTCTATGTTTACCGGTCGGTCTACGTTCCCTCATCTATGGTCATGAGTTCTGGGTAGAGACTGAAAGAATGAGATCGTGGATACAGGAGGTTGAAATGAGTTTCCTCTGCAGGGTAGCTGGACTCTCCCTTAGAGACAGGGTGAGAAGTTCAGTTATCAGGAGAGACTCGGAGTAGAACCACTGCTCCTCCACATCCAGAGGAGCCAGTTGAGCTGGTTCAGGCATTTGCTAAGTATGCTCCCTGGGCGCCTCCCTAGGGAGGTGCTTCAGGCATGTCCAACTGGGAGGAGATCCTGGGGAAGAACCAGAACACTCTAGACAGACTACATCTCTCAGCTGGCCTGGGAACACCTTGTAGTCCTCCCAGAAGAGCTGGAAGAGGAGGCTGTGGAGAGAGATGTCTGGACCTCCCTGCTCAAGCTGCTGCTCCCGAGACCTGACATCCGAACAATAGGAAGATGATGGATGGATTGGTGGATGGATGGATGGATTGGTGGATGGATGGATAAATTTGTAGTCTAAAAGGGCAGTTTTCTAAACATATTGATACACAAGTCTGGATCGTGGGTCCATGTAGAATCAACACACTTCACTCAACAAATCTGATCTTAAATCTTCACAAACACTCCAGAACTGTCGGACTTCTCGATTCCAAACGACTCCTTCATGGACGTCGCCATTGCTGACCTACTTTCAGTCCCTTCGGCTGTTTTCATAGGTGAACGAACCCACGAGGAAGTTGGCATTTGGTCGCAAATTTTGCTTTTAAACTTTTAACTTAAGAACAGATTAATCATCAATATGAGAAACATATTTTACTGACTTTGTTTCATATTATATGTATATATATATATATATATATATATATATATATATATATATATATATATATATATTACCAATCTTCATGGTTTTGCAATGAGTGGCTTTAGCTAGCATGTTAGCATGCTCAAACTGTAGCGTCTGAGAACAGATGAGCCTTCCATGAGCTGTTTTCCACAGTACGAGTTTTCACTGGTGAGCTGTTGACGTCGTGGGTCGTATCTGTTTGGTATCTTTGTTTAAGTTATTTCTTGTTTGGGTTTTTCTTCCTCCCTCCAGACCCCGGTGGGGCTGTGTAGAAGTAAGTGATCCTGAGTAAACAGGAGTCATAATTCATTCATGTGGAAAAGTGAACGCTCCAGCAGCTCTGAAACAAAGATAATTAACCTGATAACAAATTAGTGCCTCCCTGCATATTTTATGTCCTGAGATTTAAGTAATGAAGTGTATTATAATGATGACACTTTTTCAGCTCTCCAACATAATTTGCATCTTTCACACGCTGCTAAAATATTCATCTCTTGATCAGGAAAGTTGTTAATTAAGATAAAAGGGTTTCAGTTTTACACTACTGACTCACAGACTACATCTATCCCATCACTGCTTTAAATAAAATGGCCTGTTTTAGAGGTAAAAGTGGTATTTTTGGAAGTTTTGGGTCTCTTGAGAGCAGCTGGCAGTGTGACATCAAAGCGGCGGCCTATTTGTTGTTAGCAGCTAATTACATCAAACAGCTGAGCAGCTCGGGGCTTCAGTATCGGAATCCATTTTTACCGTCGCCATATTTAGCAGCGAATTTGCGAGGAGTTTGTGAATTGATGATGAGGCACTCGACATGATGCAGGGGACCGTCGCAGACTCGTGAACATGGAGGACGTGTTTGACAGCAGAGCAGCACGGACTGACAGACTTGGAGCTGGATGACGGATGAAAGCGTTGATCTGCAGTTCAGAGCAAACAGCTTGTCGTCTTCTGATGGGCTGTCTGATGAGTGTAATCGTGCTTCTTAAGTCCTGGCCTCCTTCTTGGATGTTGAGCTTTGTTGTGCTCTGCTTAGAGCTTTCAAGAATGGGAAGTGTTGCTAATCCAGATGGCGGCTAATCATGTGACTGCCCCCGTCTGCATGTGTGAGTGCGTGCTTGTCTGACTTTTATCAAATCATCTCATGAATCACTGGAAGAATTTAACTGAAGCGTGCAGAAAGTAATCATTGGATGCACAGCTACAAATGATTATCTTTTGGAGCCAGTAGTAGTGGTAGAAGCTAAGCGTTATCCTCAACACGTACTCGACTAACAGAACCGCTCTGCTAACGGTACCATGCTGCCAACGGGGCTATGATGCTAACAGAACCACTCTGCTAATAGGTCCATGCTGCTAACAGAACCACTCTGCTAATAGGCCCATGCTGCTAAC